TTGTCCACGTTGCTGAAGGGCCTGATGCCCGGAGTGCTTTACCAAGTGGAGGTGGCAGCAGTGACTAGCGCCGGGATTGGCACTCGCAGTCAGCCGGTGCCCGTCCTCATCAGTGAGTCCACAAAAATAATGAGAATAAAAAGTAGTGAGAAAGTAGATGAATTAAGTAGACACTAATCCCAGAGGACGTAGGAAAATATTGAAGTCTATAGTGCGGCTCCAGCAATCACCTAAAACATCCAAAAACTTGTTATTAGAAGATGCTAATTAATGTTACATCTCAGGTTTATGTCATTATCACCTGCTTCAGGTTTATTCAGGAAAGATGTAATTATGTCCACGGTTAATAGTTTAGTTTAGTTTCACTTTATTAAAGACACACACGGTTTACTGATTGCTGTTTTTTGAAGTATGAAAACTAAACAAACCAGCCAAAAATAAGATGGTTCAGTAATCTTTTGTCTTGTTTTTCTCCTGTAGAGCTGCCAGCTGAACAGCCCTCATTAGCAGGTGGAAGCGGAGGCAGTGGTGACAAGACCAATGGTGGTGAGGAGAGCAGCGTGAGTCTAGCTGAACAGATTACAGATGTGGTCAAGCAGCCGGCGTTCATCGCAGGCATCGGAGGAGCCTGCTGGGTCATCCTGATGGGTTTCAGTGTCTGGATCTACTGCCGCCGCAAGAAGAGGAAGGAGCTGAGCCACTACACGGCCTCCTTCGCCTACACACCAGCAGGTAAGGATGAAGGATGATGAAGAGGACCTGAAGCTGGGATGATACTTATGAAGGAAGTCTAATCCAGAATGCAGCCATTGACATATTTACAGCCAAATAAAAGGAAAAACTTACAAATAGTTTCAGTGTAATTCCCTCCTAGGCTACATTTGGGCTTGAATACTTAATAATCTTTATATATACCTACGATTTAGGTTCTGTTCTCTGTACTGCAATAGTATAAGCTTTAATACATGACTAGAAGTTTAAGTATGAACTCACATAATTTTGAGTCTAAACAAAAAATAAAAACATAGATGCACTTTTTTGTGCTTTTGGTGGACATGAGAACAGCTGACTCTACATTATTAGAATAGGATATAGACTGAAGGATACTGTAAGAAGGATAACAGAATAATTTGTTTGTGAATCCCTGTT